GTTATGCACTCGCAGAAAACTCGTTTTCCTTCGGCTCTCGACTACGTGCACGTGCACTCGTTCACATATGTATCCCTCGCTAACGAAACACTTTCAAACAACAAGGTTGGAGCATCGAGGGAACACCCCGCAAGTGTATATATAATGGAACAATTTATTTCGATATAATCAAATTTCTTTCCGATGTATATGGATCTTGGAAATGTAGTTTCATTGATGTCAATGTTTTACAATTGTAAATAACTTCATTCGTCATTAATCTAAAGTTCTTGAAAAATCCTGATAGGATTAATTTTCTCTACAAAAATACCGATTTGCCTGTTAAAAGAGACTGAGAAGAAACAGCAATTATCCGAATAAACAGCGTTCTTTATAAAAATGTTGTACACAACAATTCAATCTTGCCTTGACAATGAAAAAAAAAAAAAAAAAATGCACGTTTTTCTGAAAACTTATTTACAACATTGTAGGTATACGTATTCATATATTTTCAATCATTAAACAAGGTTAGCACCGATTCCTCGAAGGTCAAGTGGTACCGATGCAATTAATACGATTGCAACGTATTGTATCTCATCGTAAGATAAGACAATCGCGAGAGCTTGTTAATTGATAAAATATTCCATCAGTTGTTTACTCCAATTTCAAATTCATGATTATGTTTTCCAGATATTGACTGCTACATTTATTTAAAACAATATTAAAACAGTATTAGAAATTTTTTAGTTCTTCCAATTTAATTCCATTTATTGCATCGATATTCGTCATACGACGCTTCAAATATCGCAAATTATGTACGCAGACAACTCCATGAGAATTCAAGTTTCGTGAATTTTCGAGTCCGATGCTTTTGTGACACGACAAATTTCGGCAGGAAGAGATATAGAGACGTGCAAATATATTTAAAAAAAAAAAAAAAAAGCAAAACACCGCGTTATTTCGAGAACGCGCCTTGTCTCGCATAATAATCCGCACGTTGCACTCTGTTTTGTGCTTTGTGCTATTTTTAGTCCATCCGTGTTTTGTCGACGCCACCGCTGTTTTCTACATTGCGCTCATCTCTTCTTTCTCTTGCTCATCCTTTTGCTTTTGCCGATTTGCCTTTGTTGATTTGTGTTCTGTTACAAATCCTTGTATCGCATTCATGCATTGGGAAGGTTTAATACGATACTATCTTCCAATTCACAGATCGATTCTCCAAAGCTGTATTTCAGGTTGTAACGTTTATGAAACTCAAAGTATGTCCATGTGCATATCAAGGTCAATACTTTATACTCGTAATCATTAATTATCGGGGGAATTGCGACACTTGACGATGTTAAATATCCGCAATTTTCTTTCTATTTCCATACAGGAATTTTTGAAATTTGAGTAATTAGAATATATGAAAATTAGGAAAAAAGAACGACTGTAAATTAAATATATATTTTTTTACTGTACTGAGGATAATTCAAAAACGGGGTTGAAACGTCTAATTTATTTATGTATTAATATATATTTTTCACGCACACAAATATTTTGCGTTGGCTAACATTGTATTTCAATAAATAAATTTATCTTTAGATGCTCAATAAAATAATTCGTAAAGCATATCTGAAGATAAACTTAAAGAAGCTTTAAGTATAAAGTCTGACTACGGGTTTATATCCTAAAAAGAACATGTGTGCATAAAGGAAAAGAAAACCCAATCTTATCATTTCAACTCAATCGAAAAAAATTATGAATTATAATAAAGTTCAATGTTCTCTAAATCTGATGTATTCTGATGTGCTTATGTTCAGAATCATTATAAATAAAAAAATCATAAAAAGTACAGTAAGCAATTTTTCTTTCATTCCGATTGCATTAAGAGTAAATCTGCGAGTTTGGATATTTTTAAACAAAATCAACGTTATATTTAAATAGCTGTTTTCTATTTAAACAGGATCGATGTCAGTATGTCTTTTAATTCTTTTATTAGATTCTTCAAAAAGTCCATTTCAATTTTCTAGCTCAAAACTGTATATGTATAAAACATCTTCATAAAAAATAAACAAAATTTAAATTTAAAAAAGAATTTTAAAGCTTGAAATCTTTCCTTTAAAAAACAAAAAAAAAATATTTTAATTCTATGAGTTTGATATTTCTTACATATAAAAAAACTACAAGTTGAAAAAGAAGAAAAATTTTCTTTTCGCTTTGTGGGTCTTTCACGTGCCCAAAAAAATTGTGAAAATTGTCAACTACATATTTGAAAGCTTGAAGCTTTCCTCACAAAAAATCATTTTTCTAAAATGTTCCTACGATTTTTTGTTCCTGAGTTATTTGCAAGTTGAATAAAGGAGCATTTTGTTTTTTTTTTTTAATTTTGCTCATGATTCCGTTAAAAATCATTGTACCACAATTAAGAAATAAGTTTCTTAAAGCTGAAACTGTTCTATGGAACGGTATAATCACTAATTTAAAAAAATGTACAATATACTATTTTGAGCTAGAAAATTTGAAATTTCCGAACGAACTAATGTAACATTTCGCGAATTCTTAGATCTGTCGCGAAAAGGGCCGTTGGCGTATAACGTTTGTCTGTGCAAGTACAAGAAAAAAAAAAAAAAAAATGCTAATGTGCGCTTTCCCCCCATTGCACACGGTGGACACGACGCGCAACAGGATGCCGAAAGGGGGCAAAGGGAACGCGCAAGATGACGTGCAAGAGCGTGGTTGCGACATGGCGCGTGGCGGCCGCCATCGTGGCCACCCTCTTTCCCCCTGCACGCCACATGATCGTCAACACGTCGACGTTACACTTGTCCTGTAAACATCGATAATTTCACGTTCATTGTCTTGCATCTAAAAAATTTCCAGAGGATAGAACATGATCGGGTAGTCCCCAAGCGTGTCAATCGAGACAAATTTAACATACGAACGAAATTGAGCCATCCGGCAAAATTACCGAGCAGATACGTAATAATCGAGGTTCGTCCATGTAAATGTTGTGAAATATATGGAGGAAGGAAGGAAATAAATCTTAAATATCGAGAGCGATTTTGAAAGACGATTTTGACGATTCACTTTGCGCGGCTGCCCGAGCATGCCTGCGCGCGTAAGCATAGATAGTTAGGCAGGTTAGGGTCAGGTTGGGTTGAGTTACGTTAAGATTGACATCCAGATGAGACGAAGTTTGTTCTTTTTTAGCTGTAAATACTGGAAACTGCAATTTTTATTTTGCACGGTGAAATCTACGCGCGAAACTCGCGATCGTCATTTTTTTTTTTTTTCCCCTCAGGAAGGAAAAGTAGATTTATGGAGGGTTGAATACGCAATCGAGGAGCGCGACCGAAAGTAAACAAATTGCAATATTGCCGTGACTGGAGCAAGCCGTGTAATAACGGCGGCAGGGACGGCGGCGCGCGCCATGACAGGTGATACTTACGACGCTTTACGCGCAGGCATGATACACACAACACGATATGTGACTACGTTACGAACGAGTAAAATCCCGGCGTCTCGATGCGGGACGCGCCAAACGCCGCGCGATGCGATGAACGAGACCGACCCTGCGGGAAAACCGACGCGACAGCCGGTTACAAGCGGAGAAGCTGCAACGTGCGGTTTTCGTCCATGAGAGAAAAAACACGAAACAATTGGTCCGCGACGAACTTCGGGTGACAGAAGGAAAGTGGCAGGCGGCGACCGCCGCGGAGTCGCAGCAATAGCGATGCATCGCGTGAAGTTGCCACGGCGAAAACAGGCAACGCGAAGGCAGCCGCGGCGCGGTGGTCTCGAAGGACCGCCGCCGTGTTGCCGCCGCCGCCGCGAACATATTTGCCAGTCCCACGACGCGTATTGACACGTGACACTCCCGTATTCGGCGACAATTTCACACGACGCGTCACCGCGACCGCGTACATGCTGCGATACCGTAAAGTTTTCCTTAAAAAACGATATAAAGGCGTAAACACTTACCTCGAGTCGTGAGCACAGGTGACGGCGGCCGGACACTTTTGAGAAGATTCCGTTCTGCGCACGCTCTTTGCGCTGCGCGACGTACGCAGGGCTGCCAACGGCAACCCGGACAGAATTGATAATTCCTAAACGCGAGACGCGGCGGTATGCTAGGGAATAAGACGTCTCACGTATCGGCCAATCGACGTTCCTCTTTCCCGGAAATGTTGAATTGGATATTGAAACAAAAATTTCTACAAATTTCAAATTCGAGTAAACTGTAAAGCTGGAAATAGAATGAAAAGCACAGGCGATGGGAACAACCTATCAGATAACCGTGTATACTAGAATAAACGTTTTCTGATAGGTTGAAATCTCTTATTCCCTGTTCCTATTGCCTGTGCTTTTCATTGCGTTTCCAGCTTAACTTTGTTAAAAATAATCGGAACTTAAATTTGAAAAAAAAAAAAAAAAAAGATTTCAAGCCTAAAAGGAGCATTTGATTTTGATTGCTCATAAACTCCAAAAAAAAATCATCTGCACATACTATAAATTCATTTAAAGAACAGATTCTTAAAGCTGAAACTTTGCTCTATCGAATGGTATAAAATTGCCATATAAAAATATTTCTTTAAAACATATATGATACAAATGAACTAGTGCTATGAATTTTTGTTTTATATAATTCAATACTTAAAAAAAAATTACTGCTTTTAAATATAATTTTGGTTTTAAATAACTATCAACACGAATGCTAGTATTAATTAGTAGATAATTACTGAATAATTACTTAAATAATAATAGAGCATTTGTATTGGTATTTCTTACAAACATCTATTTATGAAATATTTGGTATATTTTCCATATATTCATAGAATGATTTGTACAAATTATTCATTAAGTTCATATCAACTGTGTAAAAGATTATCTAAGCTAAAAAATATAACTGTCGAAAACTAAAAAAAAAGGATACATGAAAACATATCGATGTTTATTACATTGGAACGAAACAGTTTTTATTTCAATTGCAACTATTAAACATTCTTTATAATAAAATATAACTTTTTCAGAATAAATTATTAAAAACGATTATTTTTTATAGAGTTCGCTTGAAACTTTTGAACAGCATTTTCTATTATGTACGTTAATAATTTGTCAACCATTAATTTCATCGACCATCTAGGACTATATGGTACATCATCCAATACTTCTCTGTATAAGATACCCTGTGATGTCAAATGATATACCGATTGTAATGCAATTTGTGGTTTTTCTTTCGGAAATATTGATGGAAGATTAAAGTGTATGAGAAAATGGAAGTCCCGATGTTCCAATAAAATAATAATCCAATTAAACTCTATAGCATCATATTCTACTATGCTACCGCGTTGCAATACAAGTAGAAACACGATAAATTCTTTTCTGCTTTCAAAACATTGAACTGCACTGTTTATCTGCAACAAAGAATATATATAAATATTTGCGAATTCTGTGTAATTTTGTAAAATGTATGAGAAATTATATACTTTTTCTTCCAGGAATTTTATTACTTCAGGAACATAATCCATTAGATATTTGTTAGGTGGTAATGGTGGAATGAGTAAAGGTTCTGGTCTACCAATAGCATCTTCTAAGGTCTTAGATAAATAAAGTTGTGGAGAAATACGATTCCAATCTGGTCCATAAAATGTTACTAGAAGCATTACTTCATCAGTCTGTGATTTATTCATACGCGGAGGTAATCGAGTAAAATCCACAGATATGCGAATTAAAAATCTCGCTTCCACAGGTTTTAATCCTAGCAACATCATGACTTCTATATCTTCTTTACATATCTCTGTTTCTCCAACAAGTGTGCTGTATTCAAGTTGTAATCGATCTTCCTGTTTTCCAAGTAACTGTATCTAGAAATATAAAAGTCTTTACCTTCATATATCTGAATATAATAAATCTATGTATTTCAAGTTCTATAAAATATAATATTTTTGTAATAAATTTATTCGCAGTTTTTAAGTCTTATTAATATTAAATTATTAATATTCTTGTAAAATACTCTAATTAGCATCAAAATTATTTGTTTTTTAATTTAATACATGATATCACTTATTCTAGTTCTGCTCATGATTATCTCAAAAATAAAAAAGATTTTAGTATGTTTGCAGAATTGGACATGTATTTAATTCACATGGAAACATAGTAAAATCAAGATCCATCTTGACTAAAAATAGGATTTCTCTTAATTAGATTTATTCTTATCAGTTTGATCTCCAATTATAATTGTTATAAGATATATTACATATATATATTAATTTATCATACAACATCCATATTATATAATCAACATTGCGCTTATGCATTGCTATGTTTATTGCTTACCTGATGTTCCTTGTAATACAATAATAACTCTGTTAGAACATTGAGCAGTGCATCGGTATCATTAGGATTCCATTTAACAAGACTAGGTACCCAAGTAGATAAAATATCAATGTCTGGATCTATTAAAAAATTTTGATCATTGAATATGAAATCCGGACCTATTTCTGGACATTGTGAATCAAATAGTATATTCCACATAAGGTGCTCTCCAGCATAGGGAATCGATAATTTGAAACAATCATTTTTATTCTTATTGCAACTTGATGATACCGAATCCAATTTTATCAGACCGTAAGGAACACCTTCAAAAAATGTAATATATCCATAATAAAAATACCAATTTATCAGGAAATGAAAATAAAAATTAATAATGTAAAACTTACCAAGTTTTTTAGTTTGTAAAACGCGTTTCAAAAGTGGCTCTATGTACGAGTCTATGGTGCTCAACAGAGGATGTTGTTGATTTAACATCTTGTCAAAACAGAAGACTATAATAACATAACTAAGATGAATGAAAAAAATAAATATTCCACTACTCTATTTTGATTTTGAATTAAACAGCTTTTATCTCACAGTATTCTGTATATGCCTGAATCAATTCTTGTTAAATATCATTATCTTTCAAAAAATTAATTTTCACTATTTACAGTTTAATAACAACTATTATAAATTATTTTATATTTTTTAATATTTACAGTTTAATAACAACTATTATAAATTATTTTATATTTTTTAATATTTACAGTTTAATGTTTCTCAAATACCATATAATAACAGCCAATGATTACTGAGGACTGATAAGAATAAATATGTAATCTCTTCAACAATTCCAACAGAGGTTGTATATACGTAATATAGAAAATATTATTTCTTAATTTTTGGCTGAAGCTTCCAGCGATTTTCACTTATTTTAACGTTAATTTTAGGTTAACATTAAATTCAACAGACCTGAAAGAAGACATGAGAGCCTTTTTCCTATACCGCAAACTACCTTGAACACTATCGCCCTCTAAAGAGTGGACGTCAACTACAAAACAACATCTACTTTTTTTACAGCGCTCCTGATGGAAATAAATTGTGCTGAAATTTTTGAAATGATTAAAATCTATCAAATTAAAGATGTATTTTAACACCTAGCTAGTCAAATGACCATCTACATTCAATAAATTTCAAAATAATTAAATAGTTTGTTATTAAATTACAAAATGATTTCTAAACGCTACCTGTCATATTTAATCTTTAGTTTGCTACTTACTTCTAACGAAATTATTAATTAATTTTGAAGAAATTAATTTATAAAGTGCGGTAAAGAATCTCTGTTGATTTCCAGTATCAACCTAAATTTGCATTTCTAATTATTTTTTTTTTATTGATAGAGTTAGAAGTATACTACGTAAACATTATTTTATATATAATATATTATTGATAAGTATCAACATTATTACTTCTTTAAGAAGAAAGTTATATTGTTGCAAAGACCTAAATTATATTATGAATAAAATTTGACAACAATTCGCACTAATAATGAGGTTGGTCATCTTGAGATCTTGACTTGTAATCAGTAGTGAACTACTAATCGGTACAGTAAATAATCAAGACAAAGCTGCTTCGTCTTGATTGGCTGACAAACGACGGTACGATATCCAATAGCAGAGCTTGTGTGATCATCAGTGATCATCACATCCTTTTTTAACAGACGAACAACAAGGCGTGATATACCGTGTCATCTGTGTTGTGTCCAGTTGTGTCGCTCGTTGGAAAGCATCCTAATAAACTTGCATGTGCAGTGTGCATTTGTGCACAATTGTGCATCCCTGGCTCTACTGATACGGGTATATAAGAGATGATAAGAGATCATCACTCTTGTTTCACCGGTTCCACATTCCATGCCATTATTTCATCGAAATTGATGGAGATTGATGAGGGAGCCCGTTCCCTTTGTAACTTAGTATAGTTCAATGATTTTGTATCTGGTTAATCGACACCGATGACTGAATCGGAACCCCAATCAAAAGCAAAGAAGACGCAAATAACTTAATAAACTGCAACACAATGCAATTAACGTTGATAATTGTAACAATGGAGTTACGAAACGTTATTCGTTATCGTACTTGTCTCCGATTGCGTTTATCACAGTTGCCACGTGTATGCTCGTAAACTCGTAACTGCCAGTAGCTGCCAGTAGCTGCAATCATGTCATCCAGTAATGCTGGCCAGAGTAACGCCGAGCAGAATATCGCACCGCCACCGAATAAAAAGATGATGGTACGTGTATTTTATGCAAAAACACTCCTTTTGCCTCGCATTCAATATCAAATTAAAATAATATAATAAAACTTGTAAAACAAGATACTTTAAGGCTATTCTACAATGCATTCTTTGTTTTCTGTTTTTCGTTTTTTACTTCCTGCTTTCTCCTTTCTTTGCCACCGTTTTATTAACAATTATATTTCTTGCCACGTGCTTCTTGTTTCTTCCAAAGTTTGTCAACTTTTTCTTGGATGATAGAAAACAAAAAACAAGAAACGAACAGACAAGGTGTACAAAATAGCAAAAAGCAAGAAACAAGAAACTAGAAACACCTTGTAAAATAGGCTTTATATCTACTTTGTATGGATCATACATATAATTTGCTTTAGTTTAGTATCTATTATTCGAATATTGAGCTGATCATTTTTAATTTTTTTTTCTTTTTTCCAAAATATATACATGTATGTACATATTTCATATTTACTTTAAATACAAAAGTACAAACAAATTTAAGGTTTTAAATTTAAATATTTTATTGTTTAATCACACATGGCATAAAATAAAATTAAATTAGAAGAAAAACAGGAGTTTCTTGCTTGTCTGTTTAAAGACTTAATGTCTTATTTAACTTATTTTATATAGGATGATTCGTTATGGATGGCATTACACTGAAGAAAATTTATTTATTATGAAAAAATTTGCATTGTCTAAAATATGGAATGGAATCTTACGGAAAGTTTTACTTTTGAAGATTTATTTGAAATTGTAATTACACCTGTCCTTTCTTTTTGAATAACTTTCCTTGAAATTGGCATATCTAAGAGATAGGGAATGCAATTAACTTCTTACTTGTAACGAAGTTCAGTTACAAGTTACTTTTTTGATAACTCTACTAGTAACTCCGTTACTTTTTTTTCATCTGTAACGGTAATGTAGTTACATTTTTTTGATAACGGTAACGAAATTTAGTTATTTTTATCATTACTTTTGTACACGATTGGACATGTTATTCTGTTATATAACAATTACGTGTTATTAATTACGATAGCTATAGATGTGGTTGGAGGACATTGAGTGTTTTCATTTAATACAGGCATACAAGCTACATTTAGTTCAACTTATTTGAAGCTTCATATACATTCTGTTCTAATTGAGCTGTGTACAAAGCTTTACTTTGTACATTTGTGTATGTTTGTGTTGAGCAATTGGAAAACAATCTTTTTTAAAAAAAATTCTGTTATATATATTTTAATTACAATGCTATATTTGATTTACAGCTAAAAATATAGCTTAAGTAAAAATATAGCTGTATTATAAAGAGATTATGTGTATTTCTTTATTTTCCTTTTAATGTCTAACTTATATTGTGAAGAACACAATAAATACATTATATCTTTTAAAATTTCAATTTACATTCTGTTTCTTCAGAAAATATATTTCCAAATAATAAAATTTTGAAAATTTTTTTTAGCTCTGCGCAAACGTATCGGAGCAAGCGCATCACGTATCCAGAGCCAAACGAGGACAAGCAATCGGCAGTATTCGTGGCTTTCGAGGTTGCACAGTATGGCTGACTGGTCTTTCTGGTGCTGGCAAGACCTCTATATCGTTTCAAATGGAAGCGATTTTGGTGAATCACGGTATTCCTGCCTATGGCCTAGACGGCGACAATGTTAGGAGTGGTCTAAATCGTAATTTAACCTTTAGCAAGCAAGACAGAAAAGAAAATATTAGAAGAGTGGCTGAAGTAGCAAAACTCTTCGCCGATAGTGGACAAATATGTCTTTGCAGCTTTGTATCACCTTTCGAAGAAGACAGACAGATGGCAAGGCAGATTCATAAAGAAGCTGACTTACCCTTTTTCGAGATATTTGTAGATACACCCTTGCAAATTTGTGAAGCTCGCGACACTAAAGGCCTTTACAAAAAAGCGCGACAGGGTACCATTAAAGGTTTCACTGGCATTGATCAAATGTACGAGAGACCCACGAAACCTGATTTAATTGTCAGGACCGAGAATTGTACTCCTGAGGAGTCTGCTTTGACTGTAATTGAACTTTTAGAGAAGCACCAGATCATTCCACCACTTGCAAAACCATCAGATCTGATCAAGGAGCTCTTTATCCCAGATTCTAGACTAGTTTCTGTGAAAATGGAAGCGGAAACTCTACAGAGCGTGGAGATTAATGAACTCGACGTGCAATGGCTGCAAATCTTGGCGGAAGGATGGGCAGCGCCCTTAACAGGTTTTATGAGGGAACATCAATATCTTCAGGTATGCTTGAAATAATCTTGAAGCATAATTGCATTCCACATATGTGTTATTTGAAAGTTAAACAAGAGAGATAAGATTTTACTCGTCAACTCAATCATTAACTTGTTAATTTAATCATAACTTATCTTCTTTAAGGCTCAGCACTTGCGATGTTTGCTCAAAGATGGCAAAGAAGTAAATCAATCTGTGCCAATTGTCCTTGCGATAAGTACGATTGATAAGAACCGTTTGGAAAATTCTCTTGCTGTGACCTTGAGACATAAGCAAAAAGCTTTGGCCATTCTACGAAGACCGGAATTTTATTTCCATCGAAAAGAGGAGCGTTGCAGTTGGCAGTTTGGCACTAATAACTTAGGTCATCCCTATGTCAGGATGATTTATGATTCTGGGGACTGGTTAATGGGTGGCGATCTTGAAGTACTGGAGAGAATCAAATGGCATGACGGACTCGACAAGTACAGACTCACACCAAATGAGATCCGTGCCAGATGTCGAAAAATGAAGGCTGATGCGGTATTTGCTTTCCAGCTAAGAAACCCCATTCACAATGGACATGCGCTTCTTATGCAGGTATATCACCTGTTCAAAACAAATAGTTTCCATGTCCTTCACATAAGTGATAATCATCTTGTTTATCACACAAGGATACAAAAAGATTATTGTTGGAGGAGCGTGGTTTCAAAAATCCTGTGCTACTACTTCATCCGCTAGGTGGCTGGACAAAAGAAGATGATGTATCCTTGTATACTAGAATCCTGCAGCATAAAGCCGTTCTAGACGAGGGTGTACTGGATGCTAATTCTACGTTATTAGCCATTTTTCCCAGCCCGATGATGTATGCTGGTCCGATTGAGGTGAAAATTGTAACTAACTTTACGAGCCTTAGCTTTAGCTTCAGTTGTAATTTTACTGTTAATTTCAATTGTTTAATTAATTTGTAACTTTGACGTTGTTTCTGTTGTAAGCCTCTGCATCTCT